AAAAAAAAAAAAACCCTTATAGGCAACTTCAGCAGTTCCCAAAATGGAGCAAAAAAAGAAGAAGAAGAAGAAGAAGAAGAAGAAGAAAGAAATGGAGCAAAAAAGGCGCTCCTAAATCTGCCAAGCGCCACAGTGGGTACTGACTGGCTGGCGCAGTTTTTTTAGACCCCCGCTAAACGTGCACATTTCGGAACTCACATCATGATGTCAGCGCCACTTCGTTTTCTTTTTTCTCTTTTTTTAACCTTTACAAAGGGCGACCGCCTTGAGATATCAGCATTGAGCTGACCGGGCGCAGGCAGGCAATTGAGAAACTTTGTTTTTTTTTTTTTTTTCCAACCAGAACACTGGCAGCCAAATGTCGTATGAGATCCAGCCGCCTAGCTCAGTTGGCAAGGCACGCAAGTGGCATTCAGGAGGTCATGGGTTCAATCCCCATTGGCCTCATGTACCTTCCTGGGCAAGCTTGGCGCCCGCCACCTAAAGATATGCCGTTGGTCCCCCCGAGTGGCATTGAGCAGAGACTGCTGATGTTCATAGGGGGAGGGGACCGGAGGGGAGGCACAGTGACTCGCCCATCGAAGAAGCTCGGTCCTGATGCTACCGGCTGACCCCTGGCCGGTATCGCCCACCTGCTGTAGCAGGTGTCGCACCTGCTGGTGGGTGCAGCTCCCGGATGCTCCCTCGTTGGAGGCTTGAGCACGGATGTGGCTGCTACGGGGTCAGCCAAGTTTATTCAGAGGGAAAGGAGCATCGCCACCTTTTTCGTACATCAAGAGAGAAGGGATGGTATTCCTATAAGACCACTCATAGCGGCCATACTCTTTACGGATTACCCATTTAAACTCTTTTGCTATTATCACGCTAAAATAATGTCAACCACGCAAAAAAAAAAGAAAAAAAAAAAAAAAAAAAAAAAAAAAAAGAGGAAGAGGAAATGAGGGAGGATATGTGCGGAGGAAAGAAAGGTGAAGAAGTGAATCATACTAAGCATCCAATATGGCCGCTGCTTTCCACCTCGAACGATTTTGACAACCAACATTTAATCACTGATACACAATAGATTATCGCCATATACAATCAGCGATGACATTCTTATTTCCACATGATCACTCATACCCGTCCGTTCATCTTTGAACGAGTTACCAAGGTTATCCCGGATGATCAGCCAATCAACCAAGGCAACCACTCGCTCTAAGACCACCAGACTTAATCGGTCAGTTTACGATTTTCCATTTAGCAATCACCTTTACAGTCCAACGGCGAAGGAGAAAAGACTATCTCTCACTTCCCTCTCGCCCCTCCCTCCTTTACCTTTGCTCAGCAGGAAGGAGCAGGGGGAGAAGGGAAGCAACGAGCAAGAAATACGCTTACAACTATTACCAAGATCATATCTCAGATAAGTTGACACGTGGCAGTCCCCAAAAAAAAAAAAAAAAAAAAAGGGGGGGAAGGGAAGGAAGAATATCTCGGATGATCATCCAATCAGTCAATGTAATCACTCGCTCCAGATCGCCAGACTTAATCTAGAACCTACATCGGTCAATTTGCAATCACCAACTACGGTTTACCGGCGCAAAAGAAGGAAGGGACTTTTCTTCATCCCTATCTCTCTCACTTTCCCCTCAGTTACCTTTGCTCAGTGGGAAGGAAGTGAGAGAGAAGGGAAGCAATGAGCAAGAAGAATGCATACAACTATTGCTGAGATGATCTGCCAAATAAATTGCCACGTAGCAATTCAAAAAAAAAAAAAAACAAAGGAAAGAAAGAAAGAAAGGAGGCTCTATCCACCTTCTCACTAGCAGTTACCGCATGACAATTCTAAAAAACCTAGCACCTCCGTCCACTTTTCTTGTAAAACCGCTGCCCGACTACGCACTATGCTCGTATCATTAGGGGAAAAAAAAAAAAAGGAGGAAAGGAAAAAGGAAAGGGAGAGAAAACGAGGGGCGAATTTATATGCAATCCGCACAATATCTTCTTCACCTTCATCTTACCCTCACTTGCACCATACTCACTTTAAGGAGCAAAAAAAAAAAAAAAAAAAAAAAGAGGAGAAAAAAGGAAGGGGAAAAGGGGGGGTAAACAAGGGAAGGAGCGGAGACAAAGAGAATGGAGAGGTGAGAGGTAGAAGAGAAAGCAGTAAGGGAATATGAAGGGAAAAAGCTTGATAACAAGCTCAATAAGACGTTTGAAGAACGATAGTAATTAGAACAACACAAATCATTCTTTGCCACAGCAGGCATGCTCCTTTTGAATCACTCACTGATTTTGTTACCCTTTACTTCCACATTTGTGTCGTCTTGTCATTTGCAGATCACAATGGACTTTATATTAGAACAATTCATTAACACCTTAACACTCTTTCCTCTTGCGACACTTTTCAAACTAACAACTCTTCTAATCAACCCTCTTCCTAGCGCATTCTTCCCCTCCAGATTTTTTCTATCAATCATATCGATACTAGTCTTTTTCTTCTTCGCACCTCCTTTCCTCATCATTGTCATCATCTTTCCTCGGATCCTGGACCTTTTTCTTCAAAAAAAAAAAAAAAAAAAGGAAGGAAAAGGAAAAGGGGGAGATCAAGGCGTAAAGGTGAAGGAAGGAAGAAAGCAGGGAGAAGGATGTGGATGCAAGAAGAAACGAAAGCAGAGGAAAACAGCAGAGAGCAGGCACACAAGGGCGGATGATAAGGAAAGGAAGGGAGGAAATCAACGTAAAGGGGGGGAAGGATAGAAGAATGATGGACGAAGGAACAAAAAGGAGAGGCAAGGGAGTTGTTACAAGGTAGAGAAGGCAAATAAGGGCGTCACACTTACTGCATGGCACAACGAGAAGGATCGAGGATCAATTACAAGGTGAACAGACAAGGGATGGTAACCAAAAAAAAAAAAAAAAAAAAAAAAAGAAGGAAAAGGGAGAGAGGGGAAAAAAAAAAAAAAAAAAAAAAAAGAGAATAAAAA